GTTGGAATAGGGGCCCCGGAGCCCCTCTCGCTGAGGGGAGCCACACAATGTGGCGGAGACAGATGTTTTAGAAGTCTCTGTGAGCCGTGTCCTTGGTGGCCGTCATGAAAGGGTTATCCCCACACATTCCATATTTGCAAAAATGTGGGTTCTTTCAGATTCCAAAACTCATTTCCATGACAAAACTCTTGGGAAGAGAAGATGAAGGCCTGGCTTTTGCAGAACAATCTTCCAGCTGTAATGAGGACTGAAGATGGCAATGGGAAAAGGAATTATAATTAGAATATGAAATGGGGAAAATTAATCTATTCCAGTCAGTGGTAAGAGGATGTTCTCCTGACGTTTTGTGGCAATTCTTAGGCTGTTGTTTCTTCCTACAGTTTTTTCTTCACATTTTAAAATGCATGTGGCGTGGAAGACTTTTGGCTGAGGGATTGATAAACTGTGAATAGGCGCAGGGTTTCAGTCCCTTGTGCCCTTGCTTTGCACATCTCTTGTGTGCATGTGAGGCGTGCGTTTGTGTCCACGCCGGTGTGAGTTACCCCGTGCAGTTCGGATGCCTGGTGCACCTCCGGGTGCCTGCCAACCCTCCCTTCCTGCGTGTGCACAGTGTCTCTGGTGCACACCTGTTCTGCTCTGGCATTGGTTTGCGCTGGTTGGTGCCACCTGTGGACGAGGGACATGTGTGCCTGAGTGCTCTCTGGAACACAGGGCTGTGCTTGACATGGGTCCACAAGAACACAGGTTTGTGGTGTGTGTGCTCATGCTTGTGCACACTGCGGAGGTCGCAGCGTTCACCTCAGCATCCACTGGGTGGTGGGTGTAGACCTGCTTTCCATCTGTGCACGTGTGCAGGGGGGTCGCCCTGTTGTGTCTGCAGGAAGAGGCCACTCTGTGACCTCCTCCTTGGTTACAAGTTCTTTTCCAGAAAGAGTCCCATGCAGGGAGGGCTAAGGGCATAATCCTCAGGCCACGGTGCCCTGGAGGCCAAGCCAGAGGGAGCATGGTCCCTGTGAGTGGGGTCCCCTCCTTCCTCCCTTCCCCACTCCAGGGGCTCTGCCACAGTGGAGCACAGACAGCAGGGGACAGATAACAGGCCACCTCTTACCTCAGGGCCTCTGTTCACAGGGCTCAGCCCAACGTGCTCCAGGGCACTGGGCAAGATCCCGTGGGCCAGGCCTGGCCCGGGACCTCCACCAACCAAGTCCTCACAGAGAGCCAGAAGGGAGCTTGGCTCTGGCACGTAGCAATTCCTTCTTAGATGACAGCTGGATAAACAAGTGAGTGGATTAGCACTTGGGTCATGCCCTGGAGACCTCTGGGAATCCACTGGCCTCTCCCTTGCCTGTTCCACCCGCTGGCTCCTGCAACCCCCCATCAGGGTCTTCCTTGAGAGACCAGAGCCTACACTGCTCACTGTGGGCAGTTCCTCCCTCTCCTGAGCTTCCAATGCATTGTCAAGCATCTGCTGTGTGCCAGGCCCTGGGCTAATGGTTGACTACATGGAAGGATCTAGAAAGGCCTCTGTCTCTGCTGTGAAGGGGCTCACAGCCTCGTGGGGAGGTAGAGTAAGACAAAGCAAAGCATGGAATGTTGCTTGAGTCCCGTCTCCCCGCAACTGTGTGACCTTTGGCAAGGCCACCCTCCTCCAGGGAAAAGAACTTTCTCCCCTGGGCTGTCGCACAGGTTAGAGGAGCTCTTCCACGTGAAGCCCTACTCTCAACGCCAGGTGTGTTCACGCACTTGCCGGCTATGTGTCCACGGCCCTCTGTGCATGTCGGGAGTATTTACAAGTGGTGACTGTCACAGGTTTGGAGGACACCTTTCTCCTCTGTTCCTGTGTCGATTCTTGTTAGGCTTCTAGCCAGACCTTACCATTTGGTTGCTGCTGCTATATGAAATGTTTCCAGGGCAGAGTTAAACTTCGTCCTCCTCCATTTCCAGTTATTCTGTTAGGATAGAGTTATTCATTATGTATCTTTTTTTAAAAAAAAATATTTACTTTTTAGTTTTAGGTGGACACAACATCTTTATTTTATTTTTATGTAGTGTTGAGGATCGAACCCAGTGCCCCACACATGCCAGGCGAGCGCGCTACCACTTGAGCCACATCCCCAGCCCATATATTATGTATCTTTTCTGAAAATATTTTGCTTTTATCAGAGTGCTCAGTGGCCATGGTGACGAATCAAGTGTTACCCAGCAGCTTTTGTTGAAAGTTTTTCTACCCTGCCAAATTCCTAGTGCCTTTCCTGATGCCAGCCTCTATCCGTCATTGATGTTCAGAGATGACCAGGACACAGCTCCAACCCCCACGTTGCTTCTACTCTGGGGCATGTGACAGATGTGGGACAGACTGGGCTGTGAGAGGAACAGTGGAGGTGGTGGGACTCCTAGAGGAGGCAGCCTGTGAGCTGTGCCTTGAAGTCTGAGCTCTGGGAGCAATGTGGTGGGCAGAGCCCTGCACTTGGGGTCAGTGCCCAGACTCTAGGAATAACCCAGTCTTTCCTTTTGATAATCCAGCGGTCACCAAGGAACACTGCCCATCTGTGCTGCTGAGAGACAGCCAGTCCCACTGCCTACTTGGAAGCCTGGCCTGTCAGAAACCATCTGAACATCTGAATTGACTCCTTTACTCATTCACTGAGCATCTACTGTAGGCCAGGCACTCTTAGAGCTTGGGAGGCATCAGTGTGCAGATAGACTAAGATTCCTGACTCTCGGGAGCCTCTAATTTAAAAGGGGAATCCAATTTTAAGTAATGAACATGGTAGTTAGTCGTTTTTTTGTTTTTTTTTTTTTGCCTCTGTGACCAAAAGAACTGACAAGAACAATTTTAGAGGAGGAAAAGTTTATCTGGGGCTCAGAGGTTTCAGTCTGTGGATAGTCAGCTGTCTTTGCTCAGGGTGCAAGATGTGAGGCAGAACATCATGGAGGAAGGGCAAGGAGAAGGAAAGCCACTCAGGACAGGGTAATCAGGAAACAGAGCTCTGCTCACCAGGGACAAAATATAAACCCGAAGGCATGTCCCCAGTGACCCATCTCCTCCAGCCACTCCCTACCTGCTGCAGTTACCACCCAGTTAGTCCATATCATGGTAAAGCCATTGGTTGGGGCCACACCCTTCATAACCCAATCATTGCACCACTGAGCTTTCTGGCATTGCCTCACACATGAGCTTTGGGGGGACACCCCATAGCCAAGCCCCATCACCTGGTAAATAGTCACAGAGAATGCTAGAAGGCCAGGGGCTGTGGAAGAAAGAGCAAGGTCAGGCAGGGCAAGGCCAAGCATGGGGAGTGGGGGCAGCAGGTGGGTGCTCAGAGCCTGGTGGCAGTGGAGGCCGGGCTGGCATTGAGGCCTGAGGGAAGGGCGGCCACAGACAGCTCCTTTCTCGGCCTCCACGAGGGCCACTTGGTGGTGTTTATCACAGGCGCCATGGCTCATGCTGTTGGACTCAGAGATTGCACAAGTGGATCCTGCAGATAAACTCACACTCCCGCACACTGACAAGGGCACAGGAATACTCATGGCCATCATGCTGGACTAGCAAAGGCTAGGACAGCGCGGCTGCCCTGTGCTCTGCCGGCCAGTGGTGCGCTGCCTCCCAACCATGGCACTCCAGGTCCTGGCGGGAAGGATTCTGTCCCGACATAAAGCACTTTCCAGGACGCATTGCTACACACAAAGTCAGGGGCGGAGCAGTATGCCATCAGTGTGGAAGAATGGCCTGGGACACCTACCCCTGCAGACTGTCTCCCAGGGGACCCTCTGGGGAGGGCAGCAGGTGATGGGGTGGAGTAAGAAGGAGGCGTCTCACTGTGTTGCCATTTGTACTTTTGGAATTTTTGACATGTGAATATATTGTAATAAATTGTTCAATTTTTAAAAAATGGCCAGCTGTCCCCAGTGCTATGATTGCTGACGGCAAATGGCTCACAGTGGGTCCTCTGGATATTGTCCCTGGCCCAGCGGGGGCCACCTTGCTCAGAAGGTTATACTTCCCCATGTTCCCCAAGGGCAGCCCACAGCCAGTGACCAATTTGCAGAGACCACAAAAGGCCACTCCTAACTCTGCAGTGCAGTCCACAGCCCAGAGCTGCCCAGGGATCAGGCTGAAGCGAGTCTCCAGCCCGTCCTGTCTTCACTTAGCTCCACCATGCCCTGTCCCCTTCCCTCCCACCCTCACAGGTGAGGTCTTTGAGCCCTTGCCTCGGGCTCTGCTTCGGGGAAGACGCCCCCTGGAGGTGGGAAGCACTTGGAATGCAGTAAAGGGCAGTGTGTGGTGTGGGTCCCTCTCGTGCTCTGAATGGCCACACCCTGTGAGGAGGGGACTGCCACCCTGGTGTGCATAGGACAGATGAGGAACCTCAGAGGTTCAGAAGCCAGCTCCAGATCCCACGTCAGGGTGAAGAGAGCGGGTTCTCCCCCCCCCCCAACTGCTCTCTATTGCGAGAGAATCCACACCCGCAGCTTCCTTGACTTGGGAATGTGGTTCCTCTGCGTGGTTTCAGCCCTCGCTGCCTGCAGCCTCTAGTGGCCTTAGCGGGAAGGGGCAGAGTCACTTCGGATGGGATGACTTGGGGGCCTGTCTGGAGTAGGCTGTCACGACCCAAAAGCTCTGGAGATCTCGGCCTCCACCCGGGACCCGGGATTCCAGATCTAGCTGGTCGCCTGCGGATTTCTAGGGCTGGGAGGCTGGAGCCTGGCCTGTGCCTGTGGACAAGGTCTGGAGGGCGGAGAGCTTTTCCTGCCTTGGTTCTCCTGGTGATTACTGGCACTAACCTGACCTTCAGGGGCCACAGAACAGGGGCTGCTCCTTCCCCCCCAGAGAGCCCTACTGAAATGAAGGAGGCCTCGGGCGTCCTGGGCTCCAGGGTTTGCACCTGCAGGCCCCACAGCCCCTCCCCTGGACACAGTCCCCTGACCTCCTCTGGCTGCTTCTCCTGGTGCCACCTGAGAACATTTTAATCAGAGCTACTTCTCTCTCTCTGTTCTAGTTTGATGGTGACAGTGCCTACGTGGGGATGAGTGACGGAAACCCAGAGCTCCTGTCAACCAGCCAGGTGGGTGCGCGTCCCCCTTGAGTGGGGGTCTCAACCTTGGGCTGGCTGGAGCCCAGTTGCTCCTGGGATTCAGAGGCTGGAGGGGAACAGAGCTGGGGAGCCTGGCTCTCTACTGTCCCCTCTTGGAATCTTTACAGATACCAGTTGAGTCCTTACAAGGGACAAACTGGGTCTGTAATGTTTGCTGTAAATCAACTTCCTGGTGACCGTTGACTTGAAATGGACATCATCGAGAACTTGCTGGAAATCAAGTGCACTTCCCACATTCTGCATGCGCGTGGCAAATGTCCACTCAGTGAGTGGCATGTCTGGCGCTGCCTGTGCTGCCTGCCTGGGGCTCGGCTCCCGGGGGACTTGCTGTGTGTGGACGTGCCCAAGCCCAGGCACAGGGTGGCAAGGCTGACTGACCCCCTTGTGAGTTGTCTCAGGCCACTGGAGAGGCTTGTGATGTGTCACAAAGGGAAGAGAGCAGAGCTTCCTGTGGGGCCGCCCTCCCTGATGGTGAACGGGGCTGAGCACTCCCTGGGCACGGCTGTCCCAACCCATGCCCAGTCCTCCAGGGGTCTGACATGCCTGCTGGAGTCAGAGTTTCCACTGAGAGCTGAAAACTAACATTCTTCCTCCCTGGGAGCGTCCTCACTGCCAAGTGGGACTCTGGGGACTGTCCTCACTAAAGGCCAGGATGCTGGGGACTGTGACCCCAGGGAGAGTCCTCACCATAGGCTGTGGTATCACAGAGGATGGTTCCCTAAGGCAGTGGTGCCTTCAGGGTGGCACTCGCTCAGGGTGCTGGAGTTTCCTGGCTGCTGACAGACTTGGGGAGCTGGAGGACAGCCTGGCCCTGGAGCTGACCTCCCCCCTCTGTCTATGCAGCTCACTTAAAAGATTCTAGGCAAGACTAGAAGAGCCACCAGTCTCAAGTTAGGGAAACTCTCTGGATGATGGCACATGATCCAGAGAGTCTCCCTAACTTGAGACTTTACGATGAAGACATCGATGTAGTTCAGGATCCTCTGAAATTAAGTCCATTCAGTGGCACGAGGCAACCTTATGTGAGCAACTTTGGCAAATGCATATCTTACACTGTTTCAGTTTTGCTGTACACACTCCTTGAAATGTAGTGACTTAAAACCACAAATATTTATGTAGCTTCTGGTTCCATTGGTTGGCAGTTTGGCTGGGTTCAGCTGGGTGGCCCTTCTGTGTAGCCTAGAAACTTTTAAGTGGCAGTAATAAGCCCCAAGGACTGGTTGGTATGGGGTCTGCTTCTGCTCCATGGGGCCTCTCATCCTCCAGCAGGCTAGCCTGAGGTCACTCACAAAACAGAGCAACAAGGGCAGAGTTGTAGGACCTCTTGAGGCCTAGACTTGAAGTAGCACCTCTGTACCTCCAGCTCTTTCTATTGGCCAGAGCCAGACACAGTCCTGTCTGGATTCAAGGAATGGGGAAATAGACTCCGCCTCTTGATGGGAGGGGTGCAAAGCATTGAGGTCTTTTTCTAAACTTGCTCAACTAGGAAACATAGGGGATTAGTTCATGCTGATTTTGCTAAAGAATATCTCCGACTCTTCCCAGATCTACAGTGCCCTGTGGCTCAGTGGGACTCTACCAGCCTCTACTCTTTAATGGCAGGAGTTCTGTGTATTTCCTTCCAGTCTTTTCTCTGAAGTGTCTCCTTGAACTCACACAAACACAGACACCCTTTCTCTGTGCGCTGTCTCATCGACTGTAGGAATTGTGTTGTCCCAGTTACTGAAGGTGACAAATGTGTGGGCAAAATACAGCTCTCGTAGCCAATAGCAGGTCCAGAGACTGAACCCGCTAAATGTCATAAAACGAATTTTATTTTATAGATATTGTTAATTAGTAGATCCACCCATCCAGCAAATGTATGTCAGGCATCTGTGATGGACGAGGCTCTGGATGTGAGTAGGAAGCCTTTTCTGGAAAACATTTGCTTCTAGAAAGTCCTATTTGATCATTTTACATTAAAGACTTGCTCTTTAATTTAACACTTTTCCTGAAACAGCATCTTCTTTACTTGGAAACTTCAGCCTGGACTGAGGCTCCCCTGAGTGTGTATTAGCCAACTGTCCCCCTTTTAAAAAATTTTCAAGCCAGCCCTTATGGGCTTCAACTTGCTTTTCCAAATGCACACTCCATTGTTTGTTTTTTTTGCAAGTCTCCACAAAATTCCTGCATAGCTGCCTTCACTTTCATAATTATCACTTCCCCCATCCCTGGATCTTGCATTTCTTTTGTGCCATCAGTCCCAGGTGACCTGAGAACGAGATGGTTGGTCCTTCACTAGGGCTGCAGCCCCACCAACAGCCTTCAGAGCTGGAGGGCTTGTTAGAGACCAGCTCTCCTCCTGCTGAGAGCAGCCATATCCGGGAGTTGCAGGAATTGTTATTTCCTGTTCGTTTGGCTCAGGAAGAAGGAGATTTCCTGGGAAGAGATGAAGAGGAGAGGAAGGAGGCTTGGGCCTCTGCAGACCTGGATTCAAATTCCAGCTCTTTCATGCCCCAGCATGGAATAGATATTGCATGCAAGTGCTGTCACCTTCCTGTTAAGTAGAGAGTCAGCCTGCCTCTTGGGGTGCTAGGAGAAGGAAACGAGGTGCAGGCAGGGGTCCTGTGGGTGACTCAGTAGACTCTTTGGCAGGCCGGGGCACCCATGTCCAGCTGCTGTGAGGGCTGACTGCTAACTACTTGTAGCTGCCTCTTTTCTGGAATAGAGGCCTCTGCCCATGGGATCCATGAACCAGAGGAGGCACAGATAGTGGTCTGGAAGCCCACCTCATTTCCTCAGAGGGGGACCAACTTTGCAACTCCCCATGGAGCCCAGCTGAGACAGTGTCCGTGCTCGCCCCGTCCTGGCCCTGTTCTGCTCCCTTCTCTCCCCTCGCCTGAGAGCCCTTCTGCCCTGTCACCTTTGCAGGAATCCCCACCCCAGACTTGAGTTCTAGGGCCTCCGAGTGTGCAAGGCACCCCTGTTCTGAAAACCTAGCTGTGACTCATTCTTATTGTTTTTATTACCATAAATAATTCTTTGGTCACACAAGATGCGTTTCTGCTCACCCCTGTGTGTCTGCAGACACTGTTTCCTCCGGTGGGAACCCCCGAGCCCTTTTCACCCAGTAAATGCCTATTTGTTCCTTTCGGGGGCCCTGCAAATGTCAGCTCCTCATGTATCTTCCTGCCACGGGTAATTTTCCACGCATGGCTCTAAAAACCGTTTCTGCTAAAGATCTCACGACTTTTCCTAAGGATTATTGAAAGAAAGTGTGTGTGTGTGTGTGTGTGTGTGTGTAACAGAGTCGGGGAGATTGGGATTGACTGACGTGATCAGATTTACAGTTTTAGATTCCCCATGGCAGGAGTGGACACGAGAGACAGCTGGGAGGGTGTGCTCGTTGGCCCACTGAAAGACTATGTTGTCCTAGATTGTGGCAGAGCCAGAGGAGACGGAGAGAAGTGCATGATCTGAGGAGTGTTTGGAAACAAAGTCAGCAGCTCTTGATGATGATGGACGCGGGGGAAAAGAGAAATGGGGGAGTGGTGCTGCCCCCCAGGCTTCTCGCATGAGCCCATTTTCCAGCATTTTCTGAGCTGGGGAAGACCTGGGGAGGTGCATGATATCAGACTTGGACAAGTGGCCTTTGAGATTCTCATTTTAGTGGAAAAATCCAAATGGGTGGATGGTGGTCCAAGTCTGGAGCTCAGGGGAGATGTAAATTGGAAGTCCTCCGACCAGGCATCAAAGCTCTGGCAGTGAATGGGAGGTACGGGGACAGGAGGAAGAGTGAGAAGAGCAGAGGATCAGAGACCGTTAAAGGCCAAGCTCCAACATCCGAAGGCAAAGCAGAAGAGGGGGAGTCTGACATAGCTTGAGAAGGAGTGGTTTGGAAAGTGGTAGAACACGAAGTTTGAAAGCCAAGGGCAGAGTAATTCAAGAAAGATGAAACTGAGTGAAAAATGACAGGGGATCCAATTCTTTTCAAAAGATAAATTTTAAGTAAATCAAAGATTCAAATGTACTCAAAGAAAACGTAAAGGCACCAGCAAAACAACCTTTAATATACTTTACAGCTTTTGAGCAGGGAAGATTTTTCTATGACTATAAACCTTAGAAGAAAAAACTTAAAAATTGGACCATAAACTAATATAAAATAACTTTTGTATGGCCCAAACAGCATGAGTAAAATAAAAATGGAAAATTGGACAAGAATATTTTCAACTCACAACATAGTTGGAGGACTAACTTCCTTAACATATAAAGAGCTACTAGAAATCAATTCAAGACCCTGGTAGAAAAATGGGAAGAAGACATTCAATAGTTTACAGTGAAGGTGATGTTGATGGAACTTACATACATGAATAGGTATGAAGAATAGTGCATAAGAGAAACAAATTAAAATGGCCATTTTTCACCTATAAAAAGCGAAAGGTTTGTTAACACACTCTGTCAGAGTTATTGTGGGAAAACTGATTCTCCACACTGCTATATGGAGAATAAATTAATGTAACACCTAAGGAGGGCAAATTGGCAACATCTATCAAAGTTACAAATGCACTGACCTTTAGCCCAGCAATTCTCTTTTGAGAAACATGTCCCACTAATATATGTGCATCCATGAAAAAAATGACATATTCAAGATCATTCATTTTGTTATTTTGATACAAGATTGGAAACAACTCAAATGGCCAACAATATGGATCTAGTTAAATAAAATGTGTGCATCTATCAAGTAGTACACCATACAGCCCAATGAAAGAACGAGGACACTGAAGTGATGTAGAAGTTCCTGAGACACATTACGTATGGAAAAAAAGCAAGGTATAAAACAGTAGGTTCAGTGTGTTACTATTTATTTAAAAAAGGCATATTTCTAGGTGCTTATATTTGATTAAAGTAACTCTGGAAAGATATGGAAACTAGTACAAGTGATTTTGTGCACTGTGTGTGTGTGGCATTTGTACACGTGCACGCGCACATGT